CAGCCATACTTCTCTCTTCTCTCTCTCTCTCTTTCTTTCTTTCTTCCTTCCTTTCTTTCTTTCTCTCTTTCCCTTCTTCTTTCTTTCCTTTTTCCTTTCTTTCTTTCTTTCTTTTTTGATAAAGATGTTTTACCAAAATTGAAAGTAAAAAAAATAACAGGAAATAAGAAGAAACTTTGATTCTGTATCACCCTCAAGGTTGAGACTATATATTTTTAGCAATAACGCTCCATAAATAGATAGAAATTAGGGGGGAAATGTTTTTCTCGATAGGTACACCTGCAAGTCTGTTTACGACAAAACAAAAAAAAAAAAGGAAAAAGAAAACCAGACAGTCATATCATGCTAAAATGAAATACTTAATAACTCGAATTGTTTAAATGAGCAAAACACTTTTATGAGTTTTTTGTAGACTCATTGGGCTGTTCATTAGTAAGATTTTACGTCAGAGGATTTATTCAAAACCTGTCATTCACTACTGCGTCCTTCATTTTGATTGAAAATTCTACATCGAAACGTACTACTGAAGGAGTTTATTATCTTTGCAACACGGTATGTTTTGAAGTGAAAATTGCGACCACTTTCACAGATATGAACTATAAAATGAATAAAACATCATAATTTGGGCTTTTTGTGCGTGTGTGATTTAATTTCACTACAGTATTGTGATAATTTCACAGAAATATGTGCATATGGGCTTTCTCTAAGGATTGACCAATCAGCGCTCAGAAAAATGGCATAATTCCCTGCACGATTAATTTTAACGCCGGAGAAGAAAATAAGCGATTATTGTATTTGCCGTTGGTGGGCGCCCAAGATTAGGTAAATGTCCTAATGTTTAATTCATTTGAACTTCTTTTGCTATGCGTTTTGTTCATCGGCTTCCTGAATAAATTATTTATTTCTCGCCTAAGCGAATACGAATCAGGAAATCAAGGTTTCTGGCAACGATAAGTCAGGATCTCTAGTGAGCGTTTTTTCGCTCGTTTGTAAGATGAAACATCTATAATATCGTGTCGACTGAAGCTATGAACATCTACGAAATCTTGAAGAGTTTTCGGGCTCCTCTGAGCGAAGAACAAGCTTGGGCTGTGTGTTATCAATGCGCCGGGGAGTTGATATCGAAACGAGAAAAGAGTTTTGAGAATTTACAACCACAATTCATTGATGTCAGCCTTGAAACCACACGAATACGTAAAGATGGTTCGATTGAACTGACCAGAGTTTCTTCGGAAAGACCATCGCAGAAGACGGCAGACGTTTTGTTTCGACTAGGAAGCCTGATCTATGAGTGCTTGGATTATGGAATGGAAGCGTTCATGGAGAGGGAATTAGACCCTTCGCTAGAAAGACTAATTCTCGACATGACGTGTGAACAGGGAGACGAGGGGATATCTGTGCCAGAAGAGTTCGAAAGGAAAGTAGTGGAAGGCTTCAAGGATGGCAGCCTATCGCGAAGGGAAAGGCGTCTTTCACATAAAGGAGAATGTACGGCAAAAGAAATTAATTTGGAGATGGTTTTGCAAAGGTGTACAAACCATTTGACAGAAGATATTTCTGACCCTCAGGGACATTTTAAAGCAGTTTGTCGGGCTTTGGTGAATGAAGCTCTCGAACTGTCAGAATTTCTGCGTCAGCTTTATAATGGAAGTACTCTAATGTCGCAAAGCTGGGGTAAGGGAACTGGCCTTACCAACTGGGCTTACTTGCAAAGTTTACATGCATCTGAATGGGCTAAATTGTGGCTTCAAGCAATGAGAGAATTACGCGAGGGAGTTACTTTACGACATGTTGCTCATCGCACTAAGCTACCGGCTTCTTCCTTCGAAATGACTCCATTTGAAATGCTACTGGACGATATACGCTACCATCGATTCCAGCTCAACCATGTCTCTGTAACGACTCAACGAAAGAAGGAAGACGCGCACGACATCATTCTAGACTTTATTCGCTCAAGACCGCCTCTTTCTAAGACCTCGGACAGAAAAATGAACCCCAAGCCTAAAGGAAGCCCAAATCTCCACGAAAAATTACTAAATGAAATACGCAAAGGTAAGCAGTTGAGGAGAACACCAGAGCCTACCCTGAAAACAGTTAGGGAGATCTATTTTGAACAAATTTCTCCAAGCCCAGAGGGATCGCCGTATGTTACTCCGAAGCGCAAATGCCTAAAACCTGAAATTCAATTGGCAGAGTCAATTAGCCGGTGGGATTCACCTTCGCCTGACTCCGAGCACAGTCCGATTGAGTACGAACTCGATTCGCCAAAGATTAATCTTTTTGAGGTGGATCCCTCAAGTCCTTTTGATAGCTCAGACTATGGGTCAGGAGGTAGCTTTAAAGCGACTTGCTACGAGCTCCAAAAAAAGCGTAATTACAGTTCTTCGAGTGTAAGTTCAGTGGAGGAAGACTGTGTACAGAATGTTTGTTTCCGTACAAGTTTTGACACTCTTCCATACGACGACCGTCCACTTTTCCCGCCATCACTGCGCTCCTTGCAAAACCTGAAAGTCACTTCTAAGATCTACATGACGCTGAAGGAGCTCAAGCACATGAGGAAAACGCTTGCAAAGCTAGAGCTCGAAGCCCTGAGTCCTGACGATCCGCTCTTCAAAGACCTGCGCAGTGGGAAACTTTGCTTTTGTTGCCAAAAACGAAAGTTTTCCCTATTTGGTAATTGGTCACGCGGATGTGAGATTTGTGAAAGTAAAGTCTGTATCTATTGTATTCACAAGTTGGAACCGTCAATGAGCTACGTGTTTCTGGAGAACTCCGATATCGATCGTAGGGATTCTGGATTCTGCGATGCGTATTGGCCGTTCACACCGAATATACCTACGACACAGAGTTCTCCAAGCCTAGGAGCTGCACTCACAGAAACAAAACTACGTACTCATAAGGTGTGTTCGTCTTGTAAAAGGTTTATTTCTATGTACTGTTAGATGGTAGCTAAGCAACGTTGAAATACAGCCGGAATAGTCGAATCTGAATGTCTCTTGAACGCTTTATATATATATTTGAAGCAAGTTCTTTCTACTTAAAAAAATTCATTGATATGTATAAATAAGAATATCATATCTATTCATAAAGAGTAGACATTTATACCATTTTTTTGATTTTCAATCATTTCCAATGGAGTAAAATGCCTAAAACCATGGCCGCAATGTAGGAAAATTAAACAATATAATTCCTTGAAAAATCGTTTGTCAAACTCAAATCTTCCAACATGGCGGTTATGACGTCATGTGTACATATGTAAAAAATATATATATTTATTTTCTGTCCTGTGATTGGTTGACACTGAATGTAGGCGTGGTTTATCTCACTAATGTTAGTTTCGTATTTGATAGTTATCACATTGAATATTTAAGATTTAAGTATAGTGTTCAATTGTTTAGCACAATTTTAAAAGCTGTGTGGTTGCATGTATGTCATACTTTGGGTCAAATGTGTTTGGAAAAATTTTTCTCTAGGCTAGTTAAATTCTCGGCAAGCGAACAAGTAGTAATATCAATCTCAATCTTATTCAATCTATTCAATTTACAAGAACACAGACTGAAAGAAATTACTGTTTTTCTGAATGGAATTTTGGCATTTCTTTGTATTTTCGTGTTAGCCTAGTCTCATACGCAACCGCTATTACTGTCGTCACGCAACGCTACTTAGGGGGAGTGAGCGTTGCGTGACGACACTAATAGCGGCTGCGTAGGAGACTACTGTTGGCCTCGCATTCAAGATTATTTTGAAAGTGGAACGCATGAATATGAATTCAGAAATTAATTGCCTTAAAACCAAAATACAATACTTAGTCAACCGGGCTATCCATGCTAAATTAAGCAATGAACACGCATGCGACCCAGGTTTATGTACATGCATGTAGCCTAGTACATTTACTATTTGCTTGAAGCAAGTTTAGCTGTACCTCTTTTTATATTACGCATATAATGTGAGACCCATGGTATTTTTACTTGATTCTGGTTCTCTCTTTGCACATGTTTACAGCTATTTAAAAAAGGATTGGTGAGGGTTTTGTTGCAAGTTGTATATCGTACTGAAGTTGTTGCATGTTGCATGTTTTGTTTCATGTTTCATGTTGCATGTTGCATGTTGCATGTTGCATGTTGCATGTTGCATGTTGCATGTTGCATGTTGCATGTTGCATGTTGCATGTTGCATGTTGCATGTCGCATGTCGCATGTCGCATGTTGCATGTTGCATTCATATGTAACTAATGTCAACTACACAGAAGAGCTTATGCCGTAAAACGTGCAGACAAAGTTTAGGAAAAATCTTATTGTTGTGTGCTTTCGCTGATTGTATTCACATCGCCCATAGTGCAGTTCGGGCTTGGTAAGCAACATGGAACAAAACCTTCACTGTATCCTTTGCGGCCTCGCAAAAGAACGGTCATATGAAATTGAACTGTCAGTGAAGCTGGACTCGTTGAAGTTTTGAAAATCAGTCGTTGATCGACTGACATGAAGATCAGCTACAACTCTTTTTTGATAGTAACATGAAAGCCTCGCTTTTACAACTCTATCCAAAAAACAACAACATATCTATCGTTCTGTACTTTAATACTCCATTCTTCATCTTGCCATACATGTGAGCACAAAGTTTGTTCATTGTTGCTTATTATCATCTTGCTTGAGTCACGCATGTCGCATTGGTCACGTACATTTGTGTCACACTCTGTCACACCTCGACTCAATCTACTGCCTTCTTTTCGCGCGCGACGCGTTTTCTATAAATAATTTTGTCACTCACGGGTTCACAAATCAGCAAATTTACTTTCCATCTTTGAAAAAATTTCAGTTTATTTACTTTTTTTGATATTTATTTTTTTGTCCGTACATACATTATATGCAATATAGAGATGAAAACTTTCTATAAAAATAGTATCAATCTATCGAAAAAGTTGTTCACGTTAAGTTAATGTATATATGTATATTAGGAAAAAAGCTGGTTAATTTGCTTAGACTAGAAATTTTGTCTTCCAGCCTCGTTTAGAAGTGTATCAGAACGAGTCTGGATACATAGACTTCAGCTAGAGCAAAGAGCATGATGTGATAGCTATAGATAGTCTGATAGTGTGACATAAAATCAAAAAATGTTGCTTAGATATTTTGTTAATGATATAAATCAAACATAGATGTTAATGTCTTCATGATTTTTTTCCCCGACTGGTGGTCGAGGGAAGGTCGAGCTTGATGGAGGGACTGGAAAAGAAGACTAGATTAGATATGGGGGACATGTCAAGTTTGGATTTCTTTTCTCTTCTTCCCATACAGGCAACGACTAGGCAGCGTCCAAGTTTATGTAAAACCAACGAAAAACCAACTGAGGCTATAGTCAAACGTCGAACTTAACATGAGCCGAACCTAACGGATAACGAGGCGGTCTTCAAGTGTCATGAGGTTCGGCTCATTTGAAGTTCGACGTTTGACATATGAGCCTAATATGTAACAATTCTAAAATATCTAAGACAAAAGTATTGAAAAAGAAGAACCTATAAGGTGTTAGAGTTAAAAGCAAATAACTTTTAGCAACACAATCAGCTGGTCTGAATGTTGCCATCATCTTCCACCTGGTGTGGTCAAATGATGATGTAAAGTTTGCTTTATATCTTGTTGTTGACATCAGTACACTGATGCTTTTGACGCGTGATACTTAAAAAAAAAAACAGAACGAAGTATAAACTCGATTGCAAATTCATTGTCAGGTTCAAAACATAAAACACTGAGAAGCCGAAAGGAAAGATATTCTCGGAAACTACGTAATTATATATCTTTTGATCTATTTATTTGAGACACACAGTCGATATGAAACATACTTTCTGTCAGTGCAACAATTTATGAACATTGCAGGACGGTTGTATCTCTAGATACATCTTTAAAATTAACAACATACTTCCCAAGTACCACTCCCGTCTCAGCTTCTATGTTCTCATATATGTTTTAAAACCTTGACAATTATTCTTTGCAATTCATAGTATATACTTCTTGTGACAATGTAACGCATCGAAGAGCCCTGAATAAAACATTTAACATCTGTGTCTGATTCGCTGTTGTCAGTTAGGGTTGAATGGTGGTGGTAGTGGAGGCCGAGGACATCGTGTACAATCGGGGCTGGTCATTCAGTTATAGTTTATTCATTAATTGAGTACAAATTTTTTGAACTGATTTAGAAGTATCTCTTGCCTGAACTAGGAGTATCCCTAGATCGATCCCTTCACCTGATTTAGGAGAATCCCTTACCTGAACTAGGAGTACCCCTTAACCGGCCTGATTTAGAGTATTCCTTAACCTGATTTAGGGGTATCGATCCCTTACACGAACTAGCCGTATCGGCTTATATGATAAGTAGGAGTATCCCCTACCTGAACTAGGAGTATCCCTTAGGAGTATCCTGATTTAGGAGTACCATTTTGCCTGAACTAGGAGTATCCCTTAACCTGATTTAGGAGTACCATTTTGTCTGAACTAGGAGTATCTCTTGGGCTGATTTGGGAGTATCCCTCAACCTGATTTATCCCTTACCTGAACTAGGAGTATCCCTTACTGTAACCTGCTCTAGGACTATCCCTTATATCTGACCAGTTTATAGTAAGAAAAAGCCAGAATACCATTTCTCACAGTTAACCCTCTTTTTCACTCATTCAATCAAGGGATGCCTGGTGCATTTCTAACTTCCTGTAGCTGACCTCAAACGCTTGATCATAATAAACCACGCAACAGCACTAAATTGATCAATAGACCATGCGGTTCAGAGCTCTTTCAAGAGTATCTCTTTACATTCCTGGTCTTCAGTGATGGTGAATGGATATGAAAATCATACGTATGGCTTGCTGTTAGCTTAATCAACAATCATAGTTTGTATATGCTGTGTTTGAGAACGACATCAACATGCCTTGGACGTGGTTCAAACAAGCCGAATACGAATCCGTCAACTTGGTCTCGTCAGATAAAGACTCGTCAGTCGCCTCGGGCAAAGGTATGTAAACAAATTTATGACAAAAATCATTACTAGATAGTATAAGGGATAAAAGTAAAGAGAGGAGGGTCATTAATTGTTCCAAGCTTGCATTTATTGGTCATGTTGATTGAATACGAAAGCATCAGTTTGAACTTCAAGATAATCAATGTGTGGTCGTTGATGGCTCACACAAAACGACAGCAGTGATTTCTATGGTCAGTTGGGCTTGACAATATGCAATTCAGTCATTCCATGATTTGAAAGACACTGACAGACCATTAACCGTATTTAGGTAAATCAGATTATTATAAATAGTGTTGGATTATTTATATCAATAATGATTCAATTGAATAGATTGAAAGCTCTCTATTATAAATTGACCAACTTCCACGGCTTAAGCAATAACCAATAATCATTATTGAATTATCCAGAGAAAGGTTTCACCACGGTTAGCCTTCTGACTTTATTTGAATGCTCTTGAATATGATCTCTTTACGCAAATCGAAATCATTATGGTTACCTTCAGATTTCCTTTCACTGAGAATCATATGCTAATTGGGTGACATAATGCCAATGATAGTACCACTTATTATTAATCGCCTGGGAGTGGGGGAAACGGTTGATTAGGATCCCAATAAAATAGAATCAATCTATTATTAGCTATTTTATGTTTTCCTATCCTAATCATCTTATGAACTCTGGTAAATTTCGCACTTTGAGTGGGAAACGTAAAGGCATACACACGACACGGTCACGGTACAGATTTAGAGCACGTGTTTTTAAAACCAATCACGGCGGGTGTCTCTATGGCTTGCACCAATCAGATTGTTTCAGTGGAAACCGCCGTCACGGTCACGACTCGTTCGTGTTGGCTTTCCTTACACAGTCACGCAAAAACTGATCCTGCAAATCGGTTTTTGAATGGATTATGAGTATTCGTTCGTGACATGGTATTCAGTCAAATAGGGATCGACTATCAATTTTGACAGGTTGTTTAAAAAATATCACAAAAGACTGGGAGTAAGAAGGCAGGGGTTCCTTAATTGCAATCAAGTAAAAATGTTTGTTCCTTTTGACAATCTACCAACTGAATAAAATTGTTTTTCAAAGGGACCCAAAGATGTGGGCTGGAGGAAAATGGTCCTATATGCTTCGTATATTTTTTCCAGGCTAGAAGTCGATAAGGGAGAGGGAAAAAACATTTCAAAAAGCGTTTGTTTTGCTACCCTGGCCTAACTAATCGATAAAAATCGATCATCAATTTTCAATCGAATTAATCGATAATAATCGATAAAATTACATGATAATATTGATTGATATCGAAAATCGATAAAAATTGTAATCAACGGCATCGTCCTTTATTATGTCGAATATTATCGATTTTCATCGATTATTATACTCATCGATGACAATCGATGACAATCGATACGATTCGATGACAATCGATACAATCCGATACAAATCGCCGGATAATCAAAACTGTCACGTTATCGATTTTCATCGATTTCCGATATTAATCGATTGATGAAACCGATTATTATCGATTTTTATTGTTGGTCGAAATTATCGATTGGTTAGGCCGCTGGGTTTGCTGGCGAAAAGACCTACATTTGCGGCTTCACTTCAATCTGTTTCTGTGACAATGGAATTCTCGATTATCTTTTACAGTTTTAAAGGCTTCATAGTGATCCTATCAACCAGCAAAGTCAACTCTACTTCATGGCAAATAATCTACCTCTATCCTTTTACTCATTCGACTAGACAGTTTGCATAGTTTGCATCTCTCGAGCTACAGCAGTAACGCTATCATGGTTGCAGGGTTTTGGCAGCAAACTGCAGCAGACGATATACTATGTAAATCCAGTAGAGTGCTAAAACAGTCCACAAATCAATACCACGTGATCATTTTTGGAAAAAGTATTAGTAATGGTCTTTTTGACAAGAAACTTTCCTTGTTTAGTGTTGAGCTATAAACTGCATTAAGCATTTGATTCTTGTGCCATATTGTCAACATATTGGCACTGCGTAGACGAACTACGGGCTTTAAATAGGCTATAAATCAGTCATCTTAAGTGCCAGAACATATTAAGAAAAACAGATAATTCTTTCAATTTTAATATCAATGAATGAGTGAAACTCAAAAAAGAAAATCGTATTGCTGATTGAGCTACGAAGATTAATGATTAATAACGATGATTTTTTTAAGGTTGTAATTGGTACAGATAGTTTTTACTTGGTTGATCCCAATCGCTAGATCTGTCATAATATTTTCTGTACATTAGGTAGCCATTTTCAAGTTAATCAATTTACCTTTGGAATCCCAGACCGCGCTCGATGTCACGCAACTCAATAGAAATGTTGTTTGATAGAAACGTCGTTTGACATTAACGTTGCCATTAATACTCGGTCCAAATATTGTGGTCTTGGTGTTATTTATTCTTGTGGTTTAGTGATTTCGTTTCAATATTTACAGGAAGCGATTATTGTTTTGTTGGCTTTATTGAGTTTCTTTTGCAACAAAAACTGATGAAAAAAGAACGAAAAAAGACTCGTAGATCGCAGACATGGTGATTTCCAAATAAGCTATCGGCTAAGATTAGTATGGGCGTAGATTAAAAGAGATTTTCTAGCAGACAGAAAGTGTAGTAATAATCATAAGACTCGATTATATTTCTTTATCCTCTCATGAAATAGCCTATATATATATATAACTAATATTGTTTTTTAGACAACTGTGTTTGGTTTTGTATAAGACCGGAGATCTCAGATTGCGTGCGATGTTTACAGATGGGAAAAATATAGTCAATATATAAAAACTCCAAGCGATTCCAAATTTTCTCGCTCTTGTGTCGTCAAAATAAAATGTCTTAGTCGTTTCATTCTGTGACCACTCTTCAAAGCAATCTTTCCCCAAGAAACGACAAAATATATTGATTCTGGAAAGAAAAAAAATTTTTTTTCATTAATGCTGTTGTTTTCGACTAAATAGTTAGATAACGAACAAAATGTTCGGTAGCTAGCTTGGATGCTAAAATAAAAGGCCTAGAGAAAAGAACTTCCCTTCGTAAATTTTGGATTGACAAGGTATTAGCAAACCAGACTGAAAGTTTTCGTTTTCGTGCTTTGAAAATCTATATTTAAACCCTTTTTGTCATTTAAATATTACCAAAAACCATTAGCACCTACTGTTACACCTTCCCTGTTCCCGACTAAGAAACAGTAAGCCATCAGAAAAATGAAAAGCCTTCTCAACGTGAATCTGTCACTTCAATGTTTATATCGAAACCACTGACAAATTAAATGAACCCAATTCTTAGAATCCGAAAATCCACGAGTCCCTTGTCAGTCCAGAAATCTCGATTTTCCAGAAGCAGTTATCATGATGGGATTTGAGTCTGTTTTCGTGTAAATCCACTAATGCATCGCTTCCTCATCCCAAAGTCCCTCCTTATAAAGGAATAGCAATGACAAGTGCATTAAGCAATATAGACGAAATAAAAGCCATAAGTGCTGGCGTCTGCAAAACGTACCGACCTAAAGGCCTCTCCTCTTGACAGTCTATGACACATTCACTATGGACTTCACTATGGAAATCTGGCTGAAGTCGTTCAATGATTTATATGTCTTCCTATAACTCCTTATTTACATACGAGAAAGTGTGTAAACAGTCGTCACACAAGACATTAAAATTTCTTTTTGTCACGGCGACCGGACGTCAGGAGTGAGAGGCAGTCCTGATTTGTTTTCCAAGAGCCAAGATAGTCTAGGCATTTATTAACTGTATGGTTGTACTGATTGTATTGTAGGTCCACCCTCTTTCAAAGCTGCTTTACTTGAATCAGTGATGGGTCAAGCAGGAAGTGTTAGCTTTGAAGAACGAGTCGTTCACACCGTTCGAGGAAGCGAACAGTCAATTCTAAATTGTGAGGTCGGTCCCGATGGTAAAATTCTCGCGACCTGTTCCTCTGATGGTACCATTTACCTCTGGAATCTTTCGACAGGCGAGTTATTACGCTCGCTAAAAGGCCACAACCAAGAGGTTACTTCATGTTCTTTCAGCGGCCCGATTCTGGCCTCAGCTTCGCAGGATGGAGTCGTTATTCTCTGGCATTACAACACGGGAAAGAGAGCTTCCCGTTTGGGTAAGCCTATTTTAGTTCTTAACAAAAATTAATCTTAATACATTTTCTATAGCCCCTTGATCAACGCGAAATTCTTGGATGAAACTACGATCATCGACTGCAGGCTTTACTGTCAATGGAGTATCAAGAGTCCAAGACATGCCCTACAAAACTTAAAATCTCGATCTCTTCAGTTTTCCCGAACACATACAGCGTTCTTATCTCCTCATATTCAAGCGAAAGACAGCATTCGCAGTCCGTTATAATAATTATAATTTCTAAGGGTTTTAAAGTTCTATTTATCAGCTGGCTCAGTTCTCAGTTACGAGCCGTGAGGTCTCTGGTCCTAGAAGGTTTTACTAGTATTGTTAGACGCTGCAGTAGAACAACAAATATGGACTTCTGAGTTATCCTTTCGAATAATGCATCGCTTTCTGTTCTTCTAAGCATTTATACAGTATTTGTGATGTGGCGCTGTTATAACATCGGCTGCTAAACAGTAAGAGAAAAAAATCTATTCTTTTGCTTTTTCATTCAATCTTTCTCGTACATCCCCATCGTTAAATCTTTATAACAACACCGAAATATAAATAACCCCCTTTGCGTTTACTCTGCAAAAAAAAAATGCCATAGAACTAAATTTTCCACTGGCGAGAAGGAGTCTGTTTTCTATAGGTATAATTTAATATTTCTAAGGGTTTGGGATTATTATATTCTGACAGTAGTGAAATACAGATCCAAATTTCCGTGGTTATGCAAATACAATTTACACCTGCCGTATTTTCCTTCGCATGCAAATTTAATCAGATCTTTGTACGTAGTTATCCGCTTAAATGTTTTTTGTTTTTTTTTTCGTCCCAAAAAAATAGGTCAACGGATATCTAAAATATTGGGCTCGTTGTCCAACGATTTTTGATTTTTTTCATTGACTCAAAAGTTTGAATTGTCTCATGTAATGCCTCAGTTCGGATATAATTACGTTGGCAAACGAGGAACTCGAGGATACGACCACATCTAAACCACACATGCTCATTGGTCGGTCGAATGACATGTATTTACCACCAATCGGCTTGATATTCTTTCAATGCATTTGTCTAACAGCTCGACTCATTTACACTTAACGAATATACAGCAGAACCTTCGCCGTAGCCATCTGATTAATCAACTTTAGAACCAACCACTTAAGGGTTTACCAACATTAATACATTTTCAAATAGTCTGAGAGTTTTGGTCATATTAATGTTTTTTAATCTAAGTTGATGTGGTCATGGCTACTTGATATCTATATGGGTTTATTTCTTGGGTCTGTGAGTTGCTGGGAATGAAAAGTAGGCGAAAAATACATCAGGCAAATCGCGCTTTTGGTGCGGCGGTTCATTTTGTTGATCATGTATCTATCTGTATTGTTTCAATTCAGAAAGTCATGTGTAAGCAAATGGAAACAGCTATAATAGGGATTATAAACCAATGTCTGAGCGAGAGAAAAACCAATGTCTGAGCGAGAGAAAAACGAAAGAAAGAATGGATGAGCGGATGAAAAGAAACGAGAGATATTGATGGGAAAGCGGTGAAATCTAGAGCACTGAGACCAGGATTACTCACGAACTGCTTAACGAAAAATAAATAAGCCTCTTCATGAGTCGATTTACATTCAAAGAATTTGACATTTGACTTGAAAGTAATCAAGAACCCATATAACATCGAGACAAAGTGACAGGCTCATCTAAATAAATAGCTGTGTTGTTATGCATCGCCGCAGTAGCTAGGGGTCCAGTTACATAAAGATCTGGCGATACCTGGTGCCAGCACAAGTCTTTTGTTGCCTAGTTATGTGACGATATCGAACGATAGGCAGTGGTGGATCAAGGGAGTTGGAGAAACCATGACACCTTTTCAACTGCCCTAGATCTACCCCCGAATGTTCATAGTGCCTAGTTAAGTGACGATAGGCAGTGGTGGAACTAGGGAGTTGGAGAAATCATGACACCTTTTCAACTGCCCGGCCTAGATCTACCCCTGACAGGATGTTCATGGTGCCAGGGACAGGTCTTTTGTTGCCTAGTTACATGAAGCTAGAGTGACCCTATGTACATGATACCTAACTGTACGTCTATTTATTCTATGTACCTTCAGCGGTTCATTCAGGTCCAGTATTTGACTGCGCCTTCTCTAAGGACGGCCGTGCTTTAGCCACTTGCTCAAAAGACACTACAGTTCGTCATTTTAAGATCAAACCAGGATCTGGAGAGTTCGTTCCGGGTGTCGATACCCGCATTTTAGCAGGAAGACAAGGCCACAGAGCGCCCGTTAACACAGTGGCATTCTCACTAGACAACAATTATATCTTTTCTGGCTCAGAAGATGGAGTGATCAAGAAATGGTCTCGTAGTGAAGGGAAGTGTTTGGAGACGCAAGATGGACGGTTTGGCCCGGTTCGGTCGATCCGATTCGCGCCTATGGAAGAAATATTTATTTCCTTGTCAGGAAGCAACGTTGTTGTGTGGAATTTGGGAGAAAGAATGGACGTTAGACAAGTGTTAGATGTCCAGGGAAGAAAAGTTCAGGTAGGGCCCGTACGTTGATACTACATTTTATGATTGAAGATCAGTGAGATTGGCGGGGGAGGAGAGGGTCGGGAACACGCGACTTCAGTTGGGTCAGTGTGGAAGTTTCCACCAATCAAATCCACAGTAACAACATCTTGGGGACCATGTATTTAGTCCCACATGGATGGCGCTTATTCTGACATGAAATAAAGGGCTAATTCAAAGGACGTTTGTTTATATTATCACCATCATATTATTATTATTATTATTATTATTATTATTATTATTATTATCATTATTATTATTATCATCANTATTATTATTATTATTATCATTATTATTATTATCATCATCTTCAATCATCATCATCATTATTACTATTATTATTAGGCAACAACAACGCCATGCACCACCTTCTCCATCATCAATGATCATCGACATAATTATCATCATCATCATCCTTCATCCACATCATCGTCATCATAGTCATCAATCTTCACTATCATCATCATCACCATCATCACCATTGCATCACCATCATCACCATCATCATCATCATCACCATCATCATCATTAATCATCATCATCACCAGCATCATTAATCATCATCATCACCACGTGCCACCATCATACTCATCATCATCACCACCGCCATCATCATCATCATTATTAATAATCATCATCATTATTGTTGCTGTTGTGATAGCTTTATAAGAATTCAAATATGATATTGATAACGATATCGAATTTTTGATAACGCTTCTCACTAACAAAAGTCTCGATGCTTTGTGAATTTATTAGAGCCAATAATTCGAAGCTTTATCAGGATTTAATCCCTGTTTTCTACCGCCATCCGTTATTTAATCTAGGATTATCACTATGTGTAATCTGCCGTTGTATCACTAGTGCAAACTGCTTTTTGTCCTCGGTGTAAAGAATGATATTCGATACATGACTATTCATGGTAATTTCTACTTTTTACGTTCGTTGACAAAAAGGGGATCATTTGCGTTGAGTTACGTTACGTTGCGTTACACATTGAAATCGAAGGCGTTAATATTCCCTTTTGATATCTTGTTTATCGTCTTACCGCACAAGATAAAAATGGCATTACTGAGTACTCATTCAAAATTAATGGTCTTTTTATACGATAATCCAACCAGTCTGTTCTTTGTAGTTACCGCGCGCTTAAAAGCCAGATAAGACATCAAATCCAATATATTTTTAGTTATTGTAACTCGTAGTGATCATTAATCACGTCTGGTTCTGTTTAGGCCATCAGCTTCGTCCCAGATAGCAACTATTTCGTTGGCGTCACGTCTGATAGACTTGTATCCATTTGGGAACCAATGCGCCAAAATGCAAAGCCAATTTTAAGGTAAGAAAGCTCTTTAATCTGAGTAATGAGGAATGGAGTAGGAAAGACATGGCTGAAAAACATATGCGCATGCGCCAAATTGTCCAAAGAAACAAACATGGCTGCTGGGAAATTGGTCGAGGTTTTCAGAGAAAACATATCAGTACTACCGTTAGAAAAATCTTAATTGCTTGTTTTCAATCATTCCCAAGAGAATGAAATAACAAAAGACACGGCGGCCATGTTGGATGATATAACACAAGAAACTCATGACGAATCTTTTGTTGAATTCATACACTGTGTACTGTGAAAACTATCAATACCGTCAAAACAAACTTTGGACACTCGTCAGTAGATTAAAATACACATTTTTGACGTAACGTTTAAGGAATGAGCTTAACTTCTATACTTTTTTAGCCTGACTGAGATTTTTTCCGAAACCATAGGCATTTTTAAAGGAAGCAGGTGAGCCCGCGATGTTAGCCAAGACCGCTGATTCATTTTTCAGCCTTGTTTTCAACCAGACATTGACTCGTGTACATTCAAATCTAATCCTATTGTCTGGTCGGTTCTTTCCTTAGGAGGACTGAACACGAAGGAAGCATACTCTGTTGCTGTTTCGATCCTCAAGGCCGCTACTTCGTCACTTCTGATTCCAGTGGCTACACACAAATATGGGTCTAGAACACGTGACAAATTATTATTTCTAATATCAACTTATTGATATTGGTTCAGGCATTGATTCATGCCCAGGCATCCTCGTGTTTCTCTGAAGAAAGAGGCCTGAGGAGAATAATTAAATACCGAATTTAGTTAATTATTGTAATGAAGACATTGGATTTGTTGAATGAATGGAAATTGGAGGGAATTGCAAATATAAGCGTTTTGCGGCTTAGAGAATGAGACATGGACATCCAGTTCCATGGTTGATGTGATTATTAAAGCTTTTGATTAAGGGGGCGTAAATAGAAATTTTCTCGCACGGCGGCCATCTTTGTTCCCGCCAAGAGCACGGAGGTTAGTGTCGAGACATCCCATGTCGTTTCCAATCGAAAAAACTATTTTTAAGGCCTCGATAACTCGTGTCTAGTTGTATAATTTCTTTCCGTTTTGGAATAAGCAATTTCATTTGGCTCCGAAATAGTTGTATAAAACGGCGGAAGGACGGACGGACGGACGGACGGATTGATCGATTGATTGATTGACTTGTTGATTTGTTGGTTGGTTCTCTAAGTCAATATATGGCCGCCGCGTGAAAAAAGGATGTTCAAATCAGTTCAACGGTTCTAATATAAAGAGTTTGTCCTAGTTGTTATTAAGTTATTATTAAGCTAGAAGAATTTCCAGGTCGAATTAAATTTTCAGGTGTACAGACAAATAAAAGAAAATACAATCAAGATGGCATAAAAGTGGATTATCAAGAAAAGTGTTTTTTTGACGGGGATCGGGAGCCTAATTTCAGGACGGAGGTACCAACTTCGTCCCACGCGCGCAGACGCTCTTAGTGTAGTCAAGCTGGGCAGCTTAATCTGGGGCACAAAAAAATAGGTTCCAAATTTTCAGGAGATTGTAATTCTATTGTTTTGTCCCCCAGATCGAGCTGCTTTGACGTCACATGCAAGCGGTCTATTCAGAGCTCTGACGGGGACGGAGGTTTGGTTTTGTTCGTTTTGTGTGTGTGAGGCAATGTTTCTTCTTTCAGAGCATTTATGCACTTGTATACCGCTATTCGATCCATTTTGAAGCCGTGAATTACGTATGTCACTCATGATCACTTAAAAGGCTTTCGCGTGACCGATCTTAAAACTTTCTTGTGATCTCCTTAATGGCTTCTGCGTGACTACTTCACAGGTTTTTGCGTGACCACTTGGGTGGATTTTTTTTAGAAACCCAAACTCTCACGCGAGCACTTCAGTAACAGAGAATTATAGAACAAATACGTTTTAATCGGATTGAAAATACGTTGACCCTCCTCACGGTACAAAAGTGGACAATTTATTAGTTTTAACTCGACATCAACAGCACAGTAAGCAAAGTGATGACTAGCGGTAACATGCCATGCTGCTGCAACAGAAAAGCGTGTTTAAAAAAAAGAAATAGTTGTTTTTATGATAATAATAAAAAAATCGAGGACACAGTATCAATAAGGACCGGCAATATGAACAAATTAGTTTAAAAAAGTGAAATTACTCATTTGCAACAAGTTTGAAATTTGAGTTTGAGTTTAAGTTAAATTTGCACGAAAGGTAAGATCCGAAGACGTTTTGACTAATTTGCATACAGCTGAGAGCATGCGCAAAGCGGCTTTCTCTTGAGCACGTGTCGGCCATGCCCAACAAGTGCTGGAGATTGCTAAATGAGCCAATAAACACGAGGCGGAAAGCACCAATACCATGACAACATGACGTATGATCATCTCCATGGCAACTCGATGACGTCGTTATGAACGATATCCCTCATTCCTCGAGGCATTTGGTCATTCTGGTTTTCAGAATTCCACTTGACAGAGCTGTCGATCCAGGAAGTAACTGTAGTAGACTCTACCTGTATTTTGTCAATCAAGACAATGAAATTGCCTGAAATAGATATTGGACTTTTGATGAAAGGTAAAGGATAATTATTATTGAATATGGTAGACATATAGTCCTGTCCACTGTGTTATTGTTTATTTTAATATTATTTTCCAGTTTTGGCTTTCGGCCGTCAAATTTATCGATTTGGACCCAAAGTAATTTTCGATTATCTTTCAGTAAGGAAATGTTTACTGTAAGCGATTGTAATACGGTAATAGATGGTTTGGTATGGACAGAATAAATCAAAAACATTAACATAGACTTAATCTGTTTCCGATCATAAGCCATCATACGATTTAGAAAACTATTTCATTTAGAAATTGGACAGAGGGAGAAAATGTGGCTGAACGTTTTCACCAACAATGGTTTTCCTTCGCTGCAATCAGACATGACACTTTCACTTAATCATCGTCATAAATACTGAAAAAAAGGAACTCCTAAGATTGCTTTAGAATCCTTAATATAGGGCGCTTTCATTCTGCTTTTATTTTCCTAATGTTCTTTAAATACTATTGATGACCATCTGATTTATTTTTTATTTCTTTTTCACTACAAAAGATTTCTTGACCTCGCAAAGACTACTACTATCTCATAGTAAAATTCAGAAAGTAATTTTGAAACTTCGATTGTTTTTTTTAAAGCAAACCTAAAAGAATTACCGTTGCTTTATTTCTTACTTTGCTAATTAGGAAATTTTGATTAATTATTTGCTGTGTGTGTTGTCAAGGAGATTTGTCCGCGGATGTGATCAAGGATCTTACATACGCCCTCAAAGAGGTTGGGTTTTTCTACGTCACGGGGTACGATTCCACCAAAGGGCTGGCTACCAAGCTATTGGAGTTCGGGGAGAAATTTTTTGACTTGCCTGACGATGTCAAGAATGCAATCAGCATTAAGAAGAGCAAGGTTTATCGTGGGTACGTCCCAAAAGGTAAGCGGTGTCCTTTAGTTTAACGGTGGCTTATCCAGAGAAAGGGTTGTGCGGGTCTGGACCGCCCCCTGTCATCATGACCTGAGGTTCAATTGATGGTTTTTAACCTAGAATTTAGTTTGTCAGGTTTGAAGTACATTTTGTAAAGTAAACAACGGTTTATAAGACTAGCCTTATTGATCTTTACGCAAGTGCAGTTTCCATTTCAGATCAAGAGTATAATTTCTTTGTTTAACGCGGTTTGGCACACAAAGACACAAGAATAGCTAGGATAGGACTCAAATAAAATAATCATATTATCTTAAATAATGACTCATCGTAATGGGGAAACATTTAAACCCAAACGAATAAGGTTTATTTCTACTTATTTGATCAGGAACCGATGTGACGAGTAATCAGGTGGATGTGAAAGAAGGCATCTACTTTGGATATGAGGCAGAACAGGGAAAGGAAGAGCAAGAGTTGCTAATGAGAGGATATAATCAATATCCTCCAAATGAATGTGTGCCAGGATTATCTGACACGGTCATTCAATATATGGCACAGATGACCAGTTTTGGGTGAGTACCCATTTGACGTCTTGCTACAGCTGCAGAACTAATAAAAGTACGCAGACTTAGTACATATATCTCCTTTAGTAGGTGTGATAAAAAAAAAAGCTTTTGTGATGGTGATGATGATGATGAGGATGATGATGATGATAATGATAATTATAGTGGTGGTGACGGTGTCGACGATGGTGATGGTAATGATAATGATGATGTTATGGCGACAACTATGGTGAAAATGATGATGGGTATTGATAATCCTGATAATGATGATGACCATGATTATGTTGATGATGGGGATGATGATGCTGGCGATGATGATGGTGGTGATGATGATGACGATGATGATGACGGTAATGATGATTCTGGCGATGATGATGATAATTATTATTATTATTATTATTAGGGACGCCCTTGTGAAAGCAATGGCAGTTAGCCTGCAACAGAAAGATGATTTCTTCCATGACATGTTCAAAGAACCTTTCCCACTTCTTGCTCTATGGCGTTACCCAGCTCTTCCTGAAGAATCTGGTTCCTGAGGAATCGGCCCACATACCGATTATGGAGTCTTTACTTTTGTTCTGCAAGACGATGTGGGGGGATTACAGATTGAAGCGAAAGATGGAACTTGGGTTGACATTCCACCCTCTCCAGGTAATGGAAAATACTTCCTCTTTTCCACTAAACCCCCACGGTCTCACCACATCAATTTCCCACCCAGTCCAAGAGTTAGAGTGGTGGGGGAGGGAGGAGGGGGTATAAATAATTAGTGTATTAGATGATATTAATCATTATTAAATTTTTTCGTATCATCTTACGGGTCCCTCCAGGCATGAAGCTGCCTTAGTTTCCTTTCTTTGCCTTTAAAAAAAATACACCAACAGCCAAATTAGAATCCAAGTTTTTAGACGCACACACTGATTGGTTGTGAAGGATTTTCAGTAGCGACCCCAACAACAGTTAAAATTTAAGATGCATCTCTTTAGGCTTTTTAAAATCTCTAATATTTAAATTAAGTTAAATTTTATCTTATTTCTAATTTTCAAATATATAATTTAATTTTTATATATTTTATGTTAGATTTGTACTGCATCTTTAATTTTTATGTTTTTGATCTTAAATTTCTAAACCAACCAATTCAATTCTAAGCTAGAAGGATCAGACAATGGGCAGCCTGTGTGACCTTGATCATTCTAAATCCGCCACTGTTATGGGAAAAACACCCTGACAAATTCTCGTGTTTCGAAGTTTTAATTCTATGTCTTCCCAGGAACTTTGGCTGTTCTGATTGGTGATGTAGTGGAGATCTGGACCCAAGGTTTGTACAAGGCTACCAGGCATCGAGTCAAAAACTCACAAAACAAGACAAGATATTCAGCACCATTCTTCCATCAGCCAAGTGCTGAGACCATTATAGCACCACTTGATATCAAACTACCTTCTGGCTTTGAATCACCTACTAGCCCACCCTCCCCTTTCCAGTTTGGGAACTATGTGCATGAGAAATTTAAGTCATCCTATGCACATACTGAGCAAAGCGACACTAAGGCTGAGTAGAATTTGCTAATTTGCTAGAGACCCAGTCCCTTCAGGGGCATAGCCAGGATTTCCCCACTAGGGGGTCACTCCCCACCCATCCCAACATCCATCCCTCTCTCCCCTCCCCCATAACACATACATGTTACATGAGGGTGTTACTCCCCACTCACCACAACAAATCATCCATCCCCTCCCATCCACTTTAAAAATTGCTCATAACAATGGACTGCCAATTGGAATGGTGTCACCGACACCTAGCATCTTTCTCAATAGTATTAGCACCCTATCTAGGCCTCTTTCGTTACTCTTTTTAAGATAACAGCTTATATGCTGATGATAAGTGGTAAAAAATGTAATTCATTAGTAGTAGTATTGTATGCAGAAAAAATAGTATTTTAAACTATACCTTGATTTTATTTGTCTAGTGTAAAAGGATGTAGAATAATTTCTCTGGTATTAATTGGAGATGAAAATTATTCAGTGGCACAGCAATAGTAAGGAAACATGGAGGAAAATCCAAGTTCCAGATGTTTGATGTTTATATTTGATGAGAATCAATGACAAAAGGGGTTCCCTCATTCAACTCACCATCAAGTACACTGTTTTCCCCAAACTTTCAATTTTATTTGTATCTATTCACTTAATTTATTGGATTAAATTACTTTTGAACACAAGTATGAGGAATACTATTAATGTCGTTTCCACTTGTTGCGCACCTATTGAATTTTAATTTTAAATGAATAAAGTTAAATCTCCTCAAAGATGTCTTGATGTGTATCTATAAATTACCATTACAGTGTTGTTTACCCTGCTCTGACCGAGGTTTCCTGTTTCTCAATACTCAATAAGGAGAGAAGAAAAACAGAAAGTATCTGCCAAGCAGGGTACAGTGTTTTGATATTAAGGGCCATTGTATTTGATTCTTATACCCCTTCCAGTTCAACCTCTAACCATTTAACTCCTTAGTTATTTCAAGACCCTCCGTGTCTTCTGTATAGTTCAAGTATTGTTCTAATTATTTTTTAGGTTCTCAAGTGAGAAAAGTAGGTACAATAACCCATCTGAAACTGTTAGTTTTACATTATTCTGAAACAATCAATATAGCTTCCAAGGAAAGGGGAAATTTCCCCCAACACAGTTAAAGATTTCTGACAGCTTCAGAGTCCAAGCATTAAACTTTACATCTCTTTTCTATCTCAGACTAATAAATTAAACTTAAAGATATATATACACGACCATCTTTGATAGATTTGAAGCTATTCTATCCTCTTACCCAAACATCTATTCTGAGACATTTACAAATTTTAAAAGAACCAAGGCCTTATTAAAAAAATAAAAGGAATTTTTTGCTGAATTGGTAAGTTTTCTGGAGCCCTAAACTTAATGATTAATATTAATGATTAACTTATAGTAATGTTTACCCGCATACTAAAGTGTGAGCCATGTTGATGTTTTTGACCAAAACAGCTTCATTTATATTATTTTCCAATGTATTTCATAATTACGAATTTCTGTATTTAAGAATGTGAAGTCTATGTATTAAGCTTTTAAAAGAAAAACTGACCAAATGAGCTATCATCAAAACCCACCAACATCATACAACATCTGCCTTGTAAGCCAATGCTTATTAGTCAACTGCAGGAGCAGATCCAGGAATTTTAGAAGGGAGGGTGACTATTATAAAGGTTTTAACAGGAATTTGAGGAAAAGGGGGTGACGATTACTGACAATATACTGAGAAATTTGAGCAAAACGGGGTGACTAGGCACTCTTTCACCACCCCTGGATCAACCCCTGAACTGGAAGATGAGAAAAATGAAATGGTGTCTATAATCTTGAGTGTTCATTGTAAAGAACCTCTTTGTAAGGATAGCATCTTCTAAATTTTCAGGAAACAAAGCTACATGTTTTTTCAACATACAAGTTTTTGCATTTTATTCCTCATTTTCAGACTTAGTAGTCCATAATCAGGGAATAAAATTTATATTTAAATCCAAAATCAACAGAAGTAAGCATCATTCAAAATTCACCAGGGGGGGGGGGGGATTATCATATTAACATATAGACTACACATTCTTCATAGAACACTGTGTATCACATAGAAACTGAAGAATACTAACAGAATGTTGATTATTGTTATATAGTTGAAAAGTATGGCGAATGCATAACAAAAAGTATTTGGATTTATATGAATATAATGATCACTGTGTTGATATGACGATGTGTTTGTATAAATATACATGTAATTTATGGTGAAACATTTTTGAGGGTGCATTCAAATGTGCAATTTTTCCCATAGCTCAAATTGTGTCGGCACTTGCATAAGAACCGCCAAAACTAAAAGAATTGATCTCTTTGAAACAAGGAGTGCACACTTCTTTGAAAACCAAAACATTAAATTTAACTTTAATTCAAAACTTGTTTTTAACTATATATTTGACAGACTAGTTAGATTTGACTAAAACAGTTAGTCCTAGCTCTCGCTCTCATGGCCTATAAGTCAATAGCCCATTCGAGCTCAAGGACTTATAATTGCTAATTAGCATCCCCTTCTCTCTCTAGAGTGAAATCACTACAGTAGTTGAGCACCTAAATGTAATCTTTTCCCTTTCAAATTTTTGGTAAAAAAGAAACAAGAAAGATTGCTTTAAGATGTTGCATCATTTAAATGACCCATAAAAAAATTTTTTTTAATGTGATACACAGTGTTCATAGAATTTAAAATTATTAACCATTAGTAGAAACCTTTGAATAACCATCTTCACAATTGGTTCTTTCCTTGTGTCGTTTGGTAAGCATTACTGCTAAACCAATGGCCAGGATTAGAGCTATAATGCAGACAATGGTCAAGCCAATGATAAGAGCCACTGGGGTTGTTTTCTTGGTCTCTGGTTGAAGAACCTCTTCTTTTTTAACCAAGTTTGTCATATCCTCTTCTATCTCTGACTCACCAGGTTTCATGATGAATGAGACCTCTTTGGCTAATCCAGGATCAACATGGACCCGTTTCTTCAGAGTCTTGTGGCCTGGGTGTTTTACTTGTACAAAATAGTCACCAGGTAAAAGAAGACGCCAGTAATCACCACCTTTGGCAGACCTGACAGGATGGCCAAGTCCTTCTACATCAATTGAAGCACCACTTAGAGCTGTTAAAACAAAAGTCAAAAGTCAACACAACAATAACACACACATAATGTGAACAATCAATACTCAAATTTGAATCCACTGTTGCTCAAGATAAGCTTAACTTCCACTTCATGAAAAATTTTCATGTGTTCCAGTGAAGATCTATGTTCAAAAGACCTAATTTGTCTTGCTGCAATGCTATCCATTTCAGACCACGCCATTCCCTAGAGTATAAGGTTATTTGCATGAGTTGTATTCATTCATTTCTTCTAATGCACAAATTTTAAACAAAACAAAAAAATGATACTCTTGGGAATGACAGATGGTCTGTAATAGGAAAACATTGCACCAAGATGAATTAGGTCTATTTGTTCAAGCTGTGAATTCTTTACAAATTAGTAAAAGATTCACCAACCAGCAAGACAGTTACCTTACAAAATTAGCTATAGTTACTTAATGTATCTGAAATTATCCATACACCCTTCTCATAAATGGCCGCCAAACGTGGCTGAAACTATGAATGGAAGCAAGGTCAGATAGGCCTCATTAGCAAACAAAGTCTATTCAGTACAATCTTTTTAGTCAAAGTCATTCACCCTTACTTCAAGACTGAGATGTCGAATTGGTGAGATGAATGACTTTGACACAAAAGATCATACTGAGTAGACTTTGTTTACTAATGAGGCCTTTCTGATCTCGCTTCCATTCAATTGTCCCTAGTCCCAGTGCATTTGGCAGCCATTTATGAGAAAGGTCTATGCATGGTTTGTTTATGTCAATACTTACGCTGTCCCTTTTCTCCCTTAACAAAACCCTTGATTCCAGTATGTACTTGGTCTAGGTATGCTAGTAAAGCAGGCTTGTTTGCTTCCCAGAAACCTTTCAGTTTATCTGCTCTAGGAAATTTACAGCAGCTGACTTCTACAGTAATTTCAAAAGCATTGCTCTTCAGATAGTTAAAATCTTGCATTCCCCCAGCCACTGGGTACCATTGAGCTCCATTCGTTATTCCTATTTTGAATGAAAAGATATATAAACTAAATGCATGGTTCTTGAAAATATTCATACATTTATATTGATTTGAGCTTGATATACAACCTCAAAATGCTAAAAAAAAAATACAAAAATACTTCTTAAAATACTAGTTAAATTGGAATTTCAGTGGATGAATAGCTACTCTGTAGAAATGCGACTTCTAAATTCCATTTATTATTATTTTTAATTTATTCAATTACCTCCAGGGAACATTTCAGAAGGGTCATCAGAACAGGCTGGTTTTCCAAGATGCATGGTTGGATGTGCTCTGGCATAAACACTTGCTAAATGTTTGAACAGCTTGTCATCAGGGCTTGGGTTTGTAGTGCCACTTCTCTTTTCGTTATCTGGATAGTCATCAAATGGATAGTTTGCTACGAGGGAACCTCCATGAAGGTTTGCAGACAGCACAAAAGGGTTCTCTCGGATCCATTTTATCATGTTCCTTGTTTCTTGTTGCATTGGTTGCTTTCGTTTTTCATACTGATCTGGGAAGTTTCTGAGATAAATTTCAAAAAATGTCATCAACAATACATGGAATAAAAAATGTAATTATAAGACTAGTTCTTGCTTAAGCATCTGTACAATTGTATTTTGTTGAAATAGAAATATATAGAGGATATTAAATGGGCGAGCGGAGATACGAATTTTAAGTGTTGAAAAAATCTCTCACGAGTGAGCGTAGCAAATCCATGCAGCCATGTAATATTCTGTTTATTATATAATTATCAATGAAGTATGTTTTGGCTTTTTCAGGCAATTCTTTTCGCGTATTTTTGAATAGCCATCGCAATGGTGTGTGAAAAAAACATGTTATTTTCACGTGTGAAGATATCAATTTTTCGAAATAGAGAAAAACAGATATTTCATTGGTAATTATATAATAAATATACATTGTCGCAAGGGGATATGGATTTTATTTTCTCATGTTGAGAATATCTTGCACTCACTTGTAAGATACCACTTCAATGCTCTTAGATAAATTCTGTATCTCCAAATTCATGAATACATGTATGTTTAGCTGTCAAGTTATTTGATAATGAAAATAGCTGATGCTCAGTACAATAACCTTGTCAACAAGACTAGGTATTTGATCTTTCGCCATCTTTTTATTTTTTCAAGTTTCTGTAATTTGATCACGTATAGAGCCCTGCATTCTTTTCTTTTTTGTAGTGTCTTGTTTCACAAACATAACCTAACGAATTACAATTATGAAAATGATAATGCTTTGCTTTACGCATCGATTTCCCTCGTCGCTCCTGTGAAAAGAGGACACGTTTGTGGCAATGAGGGGGGGAAAATCGTATAGAATCAAATAAATAACAGGCCCAAAAAACATGTAATTTAACGAACAAGGAACTAGAAGTCAAAAATTCCTGTGATGAAACGTGAAGAGAAATAAATAAAATATTAAGGACAAACGAATTGGTTTAAAAGAAAATCAATTAAGCTTAATGGTCCGCCATTTTGATGGTTTTGATGGCTAAAGCTGAAAATTAAAAGTAAAGGGTTTCGACTTCGAATATCGAAAAAGAAGAACCCCAGAAAGGATATAAAAAACAAATTATCGTAGATAAGAAATTACCAGTAAAAATGAAAAATACAATAACATATAAAGCGTAATACCTGTTCAAGTCAACAAGGTGAGCGTTGGCTCTGCCTTGAACACTAGCACAATCGCCCTCTTTGGATTTTTCGTATCCATCTGGATTCATGGAAGGCATAATGTGGATCCTTGTCGTATCGACCAGTTTCTTGATTTTCTCATCCTTGTTATAGTTCTCCAACAAATGCCTGATCAAATGTAGAAGGATTTCTCTACTAACCACTTCGTTGCCGTGCATATTGCCAATGTACTTGAATTCTGGTTCCCCTGGTTCATGTTTCCCTGGGTTATCGGATATTTCCATTACTAACATGTCTCTTTTTTCTACTGTCTTTCCAATGCTGTAAACACGAGTGAGCTTCGGGTACTTCTTCGCTAACTTATTTAAAAATCTCTTCATTTGGTCGTAGTTGTGATGGACAAATAAATCATCCTCTTCTTTTAGTTCCTCCGGGAAAACGTTTGGTAAAACGCAGAACAGAAATATTAGGCCCAAAAGAATCTTCATCTTCGTATCGAAAGCCAAGTGTTCGTTCTCACAGCGAGAGATATATTTACACGTCTATTGGAGGCAGTCAAAACCAGTAGATTTTCAAATTATCAACATGAATAATTTCGAGTGTCGAGTCTGAAGGGAAATAAAGGTTTTATTTCGCAATTCCTTAGTAGAGAGAGGATCTTCCTACGATACGACAGATGTATAAAACCAAGAAATCGAGCGGATGTGAGCTGTTATGAAGGTATATGCCCACGTACGTTGATAATTATTAGCGTTTCTGCGTCAGAAGAAAGAGAGCCAACCAAACAAACCAGGCGAGTCCAAATATAAAATAAAGTTCAAGTCTGTGTCCCCTTGAAAAATGACCCGATTGCTCACCAAGACATACAATCTGATAGTTTAAATATGTAAGATACGATCTGCATCGACGGTTGAAGGTTCGGAATGGAAAGACCCTGTTGTTTTGAAATTAAAATTTGACCTCCTTGTCAAGAACTTCGCTTGGTTCCTCCCACTGACTATGTGATCGACCACAGCTGCTTCAAGATATTCCCGTGATCCCTTTCTGTCCTAAACTAAACAGGAAGCCCAACCATTTAAAAAATATATGCAATTTCGCTCTTGGTTCTCGGTCGATTTGTTGATTTTCATTTGGATTAACTGCTAAATAAAAGATTTAAACGACTTTTTTAGTAAATTTATGGATTCTTTTGGGTATGTGCTTCATTGATCGAAGGCCAGCGAGAGGACCTTTGAAGTTCCTTTTCAATCTCTAAACCATATTTGTCCATAAACTTTAATGTATTTTGTTTTGCGCCCGGGGGGGGGGGGGGGGGGCCCCCCTATTTTAATTTTGTATACGGGTATGTGCCGCCCTATAGGGT